CTGATGATAAAAAAAAATATTTTTCTAATAAAATCTGCACTTAGAGCTGGGGGTGGTGGCACACATGTAGTCCCAGCTTGAGCCCAGGAGTATGAGGTTGCTGTGGGCTGTGATGACACCACTGCACTCTAGCCTAGGCAACAGAATGAGACCCTGTCTCCAAAAATCAACGTATGTTTCCTGAGAGTAACATACAGAATAGAACTAAACTATAGATACCTATCACATGCCTTGATCTCCCACTCCTATGACAAATATAAAAAGTATAAAAAAGTATTTTTAATTAATAATGGTACATGTAAGTTTTTTGTGTGGACATGTATTTTTATTTCTCTTGGATAAATATCTAGGAGCAGAATGACTGGATCACGTGGTAGGTGTGTGTTTAACTTTTTAAGAAACTGCCAAACTGTTTTTCAAAGTGACCACATCATTTAAATTCCTACCAGTAGTGTATGAGAGTTCCAGTTCCTCCATATCCTCACCACCACTTGATCTTTTTAGTCTTAAAATGCATATGGTATAGGAGAGCTGTCTGGAAAATATCCAGCCATTGTTAATATAACAAGAATGGTTAGATGGCTAGATACTTTCCAAAGAGCCCTAGTATACTTGTATCTCATTGTGGTTTTAATTTTCATTTCCCTAATTATGAGGATATTAGCCATCTTTTCATGTGCTTACTTATATCTTATTTGGTGAAGTGTCTACCCATATCTTTTGCCAATTTTTAATTAAATCACTTGTCTTACTATCGAATAAAATTATGAAAGAAACTCTGTCTGGCAAGAGGAACCAAGAAAGGGATTTCTGCAATCAGAAGAGTGTGAGGGAAAACTCGCTTCTTTCTCTCCTTTTTCTTGCCTACCTCTGTTCCACTATAGGCTCAGTCATAGCACTGCACCAACTCAGTGGCACAGATGGCAGAAACTGTGACAGAAACTCCATCTTCCTGGCCAGAGATCTAAGAAAATGTTCCCCTGCAAGTTGTGGAAGGTGGTCCCTTAATTCTGTGTTTGAATCTGCACAAACTCAAAACAGCATAGCAAAAGCTTTGAGAGCTAAAGTATAACTTAAACTATCGCCTAATCTCAGACTTATCCCTCATGCATGGAACAGACCAGGGTAGCCTAGCAAAGACTTTCAGAACTGAACTCAGATTTAAATGACTACCCAAGCCTCAGACTAATGCCTGAATAGCAATGGGCTGGACAGAGCCAAAGCAGCACAGCAGAAAGTTAGAAAACTGGGCTAACATTGGAAACTCTGCTAGAAGGCAAGACAGGATATATCTGAACCTAACTGGGTTGACTGCCTCCTAAAACAAAACCAAACTAAAACATTCAACTTTCTCCTGAAATTTTTAACAGGTCAATCCAACATAATATTCAAAATGTTCATGATATAATCTAACACCACACAAAAACACCAAGAACCAGGAAAATATGACCAAATCCCAACGTAAAAGACAACAGATGCCAACCAAGATGTCAGAATTGTCAGATAAACACTTGAAAGCAGTTATTATAACTATGTTCCATGAAATAAAGATGAACACACTAGAAACTAGAACACACTAGAAATTAATGTAATAATACATATATTCAGCAGAGGAATATAAAGTGTGTAAAATGGAAACTTTAGAACTGAAAAAATGCAATATCTGTACTATAAAATTCACTATGGGATCAGTAGCAGAATGGAAATGATAGAGCAAGGGCAGAATACCTGTGACTGTGTTTATTCATCTCATGAGCCCAAGTGGCTACCACTACAGGCTAGAAAGGATGGATGGATGGACAAATGGATGAATGAATGGATGCCCAACCTACCACTGCATGCCCCCAAGCCCTACTGAAAGCTCAGGACTGAATCCTAGTCCAATGCTCCCAGATTCCAACTGCACAGAACTTATAACATAGCTCATAAAGTTATGCAAAGTCTAAGCTGGACAAGTTTTAAAGGATCATTTGTTCTAAAATCTTTCTTTTATAGAGCATAGGACCGAAACCCATAAAGGACTATTTGCCCAGCATCTTTCGAGGTAGTCAGAACTGGAGCCTATATGCCTTGACTCTCACCATCTTCTCTTTGTATCAGGAGGTTATTTTTTCAGTAATGACACTTTTTTTCCCCTGTATCCTTAATTAGGCCACTCGACCAACTTTGTGGTAACCGTCCTCTTACCCTCCAAGCGGTCCAAAGACTACTGGATTGCCAAGGGATCAGCTTTGCTCTGCCAGCTGAATGAGTGAAAAGGCACCACCCAGTGATGAAAAGGCCAGAGATCTTTCCTGATGAGGGGGAAGGTTTGAATAATTTATACATCAGCCAAATAGTTACTTCTGATTTGACTTAAGGATATTAAGTGTGACCTTTATTTCTCTTATGACCTAAAATAAAGTGTTTGAGTTCTTTATGTTGGTAATCCAAGCTCTGATGTGGAAGCAGTGAGTTCAGCGCCCACCTATTAAACCTGCTATCCCCACACCCAGCCCCCCACCCCAGAGTCAGGACTCAGCCCTGTTTCCCCACACAGGCTCCTCCTCTTTGCACTGATGTGAGTGGCCCCTAGGGGTTTCAGCACTTCTGTTTCTAGACCAGATTAAGGTTCTCTGAGCCCAACACATGGAGAGTCAATGCATGACCACAACAGCCGGGGGAGCAAATGAGCAGGACTCTAAGATCTTGACCCATGATGCCAGTTCTCCCACTCCGAGGGGCACCATTACTGCTATCCCACAAGTACAGGTCAGTCCTGCCCAAGTACAGAGGGATCTTCCCCTTCCACTCACAGTGAACCTGTGTGAAAACCTGCCAAGTCCCAGCCGGGTGCATTTGAGCCCCTGCCACCTAAAAGGCAGAGGTTGCTGGGCCAGCACTAAAATGGAGCAGCCACTGTGACAAGCCCTTTTGTGTCAGCCCTGCCAACAGTGGTCTGTTTGCTTCCCTGGCCATAACGTGACCCAAAACTAGCCTCCTAGCTCTGGAGAAAGCCACACCACACCCTACGAAAGACTGGAGGAACAGGGTCAGCCACCGTGATCCTAGCCTCCCAGCGTATGGCTGCCCCCTACCTTTACTCCACACCCAGCGAAGGTGAGAGCGGACTCGAGTCTCGGAGAAGCAAGGAGCGCCACTTCGTCAGGCAGAGTTTGGTGCACAAGTCAGAAACTACGCTTGGTGTTTTGGGCAGAAATAGGTGCTGACAAAGTCATGGGAATGGCTGCAGCTCCAGAAGTCAGAGGGTTGATATTAGGCACCACGGCAGCCGTGATCCAAGGTGAGAAAGCTGCAGGAAACGGTGCCAGCCTCACAGCACTCCCCACGGGGAAGCAGGTGAGAGGAGGGGGCCACAGAGTCTGCCGCTGCACAGACTTGTTGGCTGGAGCCTCACAGAACTTCCACCACTGCTCAAGAAAAAGACCCTCTGCCCACTTCTACCTTCCAAATCTCACCTAAGTGTATCTCATTAGGAGAATCCAGAGGATAGCAGCAAGGGGATCTGGAAGTATTTTAGCCTTCCGACCCCTGCGACACAGGGCATACGGAACGGAAGGAAGGTGGTGGACGTGGTCCTAAGTGGCGTCACACTTCTCTCTCAGTCAGGCCCAGGGGAGTGACTGAGTAGGGAAGCTAGAGCCGCAAACCCAGGCAGGCAGTCTTACCCCAAGCCCGATTAGTAACAAATGCAACCACTCTGTGTTGGCCCCACTCAAGTCCTAGACAGAACCTCTGGGGTTTTGTGAGCTACCTGGGCCCAAAACTGTAAGGAAAGCTCGCCACAGGGGGACGACCCTGACCCGGAACCAGGGTGGTCAGGGAAGGGAGGTCAGCGGGGCAGGGCTAAAAGCTCCCATTTCAGACTCAACCTTTTACTTGTTTTATATAGGGGTTTCCATAAGATTTTATTTGGAAAAGACATTGGCAATAACCATATAAAAAAATAAATAACATGGCTGGGCGGGTAGAGTTTGGAAACCACTCTCTTGCACAGTAGCTCTGGCGAAGCCTACCCAGCCCCAGGCTCCGATGCCAGTGAGACCCACTCGCATGTTGTGCCACAGGGAAGCTCCTGCCAGATCACAGGGAGCACCTCCTCACCAGACCACGGATAGAGGGGTGCAGAACACAAGTTTCACAGCCAGAACCAAGAGCAAACAGGGGGAAAAGCAGCAGAAAGAAGGAAAGTGCCAGGGTCCAAAGCTGGGCCCAGCGGGGTCAGAGTGGCAGCTGAGCAGCGAGGGCCCAGTGGGGAAGCGGGGACAGCGTTCAGACAGTGTGAGCACAGGAGCTCTCTGCCTGATGTATACACATCATTAAAAAAAATCTACACCAAAAAGGTATGTAATTATTTTCAAACAACTCATTGACAACTTATTATTTTCACACAACTCATTAAGTTACAGAACTGTACAGCTCCCCCCAAAGGTGTATATCCCCAAGTCATTTCTTGGAAAGAGCAGAATCAACACCAGGTTTCTTCTTCGGGCACAGTCTCTTCTCCCCGGTTGGGCCTGCGAAGGCCAGGCCAGAGGTGGCGTACAGGAATGGCTGGCCTCCGAGTCCGAGGGGGCGGGGTCTTGGTGTGGCTCCCCAGGCACCACAGGAGGGGCGTCTGTGTTTGGAAGGCCAGCACCAACACCCCTGACATGGGAGTCCAGAGAGGCGGGCAGCCACTGCTGGCCACCGCCCGGCTGTGGTGGGAATGCCCGCGTCGAAGGAGCTGCACCTCAGCAGAGATGTGCCTGTCTAGGACAGGGACCTGTGGGGCCACAGCACTAGGAGGCAGAGAGAAAGGCAGTCTTGGGGCACAGTGCAAGCTGCTGCACACTGCAAGGCCCCCAAATGCCCATGCAGCTTCTTTTCGTCTCCCCTCTTCAGAGATAGGAGTGGAGATTAATATACTAACAGGCTTCCTGCATCCTTGGCACTCTCGGGTCTTTGGCCACTGCTACCAGAAAACCAAGCAATGGAGGGTATTAAGCTACCAGACTAGCCAACCGTTCCTGGCTATTTGGTTCTTGGTTTAAGCACTATTAAAAGTCTTAGCATAAGAAGGCCCAACCCAGAGTTTGTTAATCATGAGCTTCTGGGTAATCTGAGACGGGACCTTCCTCACTGGCCGCCACAGAGGGTGAGCCAGGCCATGAAGAGTCCTCCCTGGGTCTCTGCCTCCCACCTGCCCAAGGCATGCAGGACACGACAGCAGGCACTGAAGACATGACTTCAGCCTTACCTCTCCCTTTCTGCTCAGCTGAAGTGCAAAGTGCCCAATCCATGGCCACCTTGAAAGAAAATGGCTCAGGCTGAAAAAGTACTGAACAGGTCAGTTTATCCGTCCATCAAGGAAGGATTGTTGAGAAGCCACCCTGGGACATGGGCACCAACAGAGCTGCCCCTGTTCTGCAGGTCCCATTTGGCTGCCAGGTTCTGTCCATTTAAAGTGCAAATCACACCACATATAAGATGCCTGCTCCAAACCCTTCAGTGGCTCCCTACTTCCCTCTCTGTTCACCTCCCCAGACCCGTGTGATCCCACTGCCCCCGCCCTTCCCAGGCTCCAGCCTGAATTACTTTATCTTGATTTCTTTAACAGAATTGCTCCCTCCACACCAAGCTTTCACACTGTTCCCTCTGCCCCTGCCTCCTCCCCTTCCCTATTCAGTTGTTCACTAACTCATTCACTTAACATTTACTGAGCACCTATGCAGCCCTGCTCTGCTAACCCAGACACAAAAGCTATTCACCAGGCCCTGCTTTGCTGTCTTCCACTCCTATCAGCCAAAGGATGATTCCTCAGGGAGGCTTTTACTGCCCCCTGTGACTCTAGTAGTAACCTCCAACACACACACACACACACACATTCCCACGGCACGCTATGCTCCCCTTTGCAAATTTACGTAAAATCTGGCTTCCTCACCAGACTGTGAGTCCATGAAGGCAGGGCAAGTGTCTGGTTCGCCCCACAGACATAACACCCAACACAACACCAGGCACATGGGAGAAACTCAAAGTTTGGGATCAACCTAATTGGATCCTGGATCCCAGCCTCTCTGGGATGGTCCTTCCAGCAGCCCTGTGCCCTGCAGGCCCCAGCTCTTCTGCCCACCTCTGATCCACCCACTAGCCATCTCTAAGAGCACATTCTGTGGTCACCACTCTCCCTGTACACCATGAGGCTTAAACATGCCCATTTATAGAGTTCCTTCCAGCTCTGCAAAGCTATGATCTGCGGTGGAAAGGGGGCTGGAAAATTGAAGTTCTTTGCAAACTGTATTCCAGCCTCTGTCTGCTTTTAACAGACCATCCATACCCCCACATTTGTTCTTTAGCAAGTATAAAGGCGTTGCCCTTGCTCTGGCTTGAAGCAACTATCTTAAATCCAGGTTCATCTCTGTCGCAGTGGGCAGAGGATGGGTGCCAGGGCCCATGAGGAAAGGGAATGGCTGCTCCACAGGGGGGCTCCCAGCCCCCCCAGTGTGAGGGGCGTTCCTGGGTCAGCTCACACCCGCACCCCCAGGGCAAGGGCGGAGGCTGGCCTGGGCAGCCCACCCGCCCCACCTCTCCTCCAGGCGCACCCAGGGGTCAGAGTCGCTGCCTCTGCTGGGGCCGCCTCCGCCTTTTCCGGGACTTCTGCTCGTCCTTCCCAGACAGCTCTGCACTTCCAGGCGGGGACTTCTGGCCTCTAGAACTGTGAGAAAATCAATGTCTGTGGGTTTTGTTATGGCAGCCCTGGCAGCCTAACCCAGGGGAAAGGGAAGGACGGCCTGTGCCGCCACGATGGACGGCTAGGAGGGAAGCCGGTGTTGCTGGCCGCAGTGCCGCGGGGCTGGAGGCCTCCTGGGCTCCTTACCGGAAGGTACATGGGGGCAGAGGGCAGTTCTGCATAGAAATGAGAAAGAAAAGACCTAGGGAGGAGGAAACAGCTCAGAGAAAGAGAAGGGGCTTTCTCCCACCCCAGAGGGGTCACACAGGCACCCAACACCCCAGCCCCTCCGACCCTTCCAGCACTGTCACCGCCTGATTCTGCCATTCTCCTCCCTAAAACCTCCAAAACGCCTAGGTCAAAGGGCATGGAGCAATAAGCCTAATTATCCTCCTACAGCCCCCAGACCCCAGGGCAAGCTTCCCTTCACCTTTCTCTCCCACCCCAAACACTGCTGAGGAAAAGGCCAGTGTGGCCTCTGTGGCTCAAAGTGCCCACATGGCCCAGCGGTGCTGGCACAGCCAGCCCCATGGGGCCAGCAGAGAGGTGCTGGGCGCCCATCCAGTGACCACCTCTCCCAAGCCTGGGGGAAATGGCCGTGCAGGGGTCCTCTGGAGCCCCCAGGACAGCAGCCCACCCTGGTGCCATGCAGCGCTGCAAGGGTGCCGGCTCCCCCAGCTGCTCCCCTTTATCTAGGATAAAGGCACAGGAGCGTTACTTGTTGACAGGGCGTCGGGCTGGGGCGTGTTCTACCGCAGAGCCTTCGCGCTGCAAAATATCCAGCACCGTGTTTTCTCTCGCCCATGAAATGACCTGCGGTGAGAAAAACGATCAGAGATGCTGCAGCTCCCAGGACCACTAAACATACTTCCCAAACACACACCCCGGGACCAGGAAATTACCCTGCCAAGTCCCCCTCCCATCTGCCCAGTTCCAGAGAGCTCCGGAATCAGGCTTCCCAACAGTCCTGCAAGCCAGGCCGGACCGGATGAGCAGCATTGCAGAGACGGGACAATGAAGATCAGAACAGTGCAGTGAGTTGCCTGGAGTCACACAACTAAGGGGAGGGACTAGACATCAAACCCAACCTGGCAAGACTTCCCAGAGGAAGCGATAGGTATGCAGGGTCCTACACGGGATGCCACTGGTCTGGTGGAAACAGAGTTCCCAGCTGTGGGAAGAAATGCAAATGTGCTCTCTGGAGAAACTGGCCTGCTGGTGGGAATGAAAGGGGCAGCTGCTGCCCAATCACCACCTTCTAGAAAAAGCAAAGGCAACCTAATCCAAGATCTGAGAGGTCTCTGCATAGAGGGCTTTCGGGCACCTGGGAGATGGCTCGCTCTGCCTGACGTTTCTTAGCAACCACTGGCCCCCACCCCACCCTTCGCTCCAGGCCTTTCCCCCAAGGGGCGGGGGCCAGAGTCCTCACCCCGAGTGGAGAAGTTTGGCAAAACATTTCCCCTCCTCCCCGCTCCTCCCTGCAGCCTAGACCAGATTCTAACTAGAAATAGATGTCAGCACAGGGGCTATAGCTGTGACCTAGAAATCTGGGTGGGGCAGGAGGCTGAGGCCACAGCGGAGTACCCTGGCAAACCAGCAGCCGAAAGCCAGCATGAGCTGATTGAAGATCCACACCTGAGTAAGGGGGGGTGGGAGTCTTGTCTTCAGCACTCATCCTAGGTTATTCATTTATTTGAGAACGAAGGACTGGCAATTTAGAGCAAATGATTATAGTGTCCACTTAGCACCTCTGACTTCGATTTTTCTCCCACTCCAAAGCTGAGCTCCATTCCTCATCTTGACATTTCATCTCCAGACCCTCATGACAAAAGTTGCTGTTTTATTTATTTTATTATAAAGCTCTGGTGCTTTCAGTTTCGGTTATCTTCATGTTGCAATTAAAAGTTTGCTAAGCACACAGCTTTTAAGTTTCAAAATGTCAAAAGTAAAGGTTTGGGAGCAATGGCTGCAGTTCCCTCTGCTCAACTTCGCCTTCAGAAGGCAGGGACAGAAAGCAGCCCCGGGAAGATAACTCGGCCCTAGAAGGAGCATCCCGGGCACTCCGGACACCCAAGGTGCCCCAGGGCTGGGAGACCCACACTTAGTGCTGCCTTCGCGGCCCAGCCTTTCCCCTCCTCCCAGCGCCCATTACCCCAACACTAGGCATGCGGGAAGCTTTTGGGAGAGCCACTGAGTCCGGCAGTGGAAAATGAAAGCCCATTCTCTCTGGCGCTGGCGGCCTTGCCCACAGTGGCCCCCCACGCTCCAGCGCCCGGGAGCCTTCCATCCACGCCACCACCAGCGGGTGTTGGGACAACGCCACCACTGGCTCTATTTTTTAACGTTCCCACCAAGGGATGTTGAGCCACAGGGGCTTCCCAAACCTGCACCACTGTCAGGGTGCCTCAAGAGCCCAGGCTAACCGCTTTGTTAGAGAAAGCCATTTGTTGCAACAGGCCGGACATGAGCACAGTTCAAGTATGCACAATCCAGACGTGGAACATGAGGCTTACAGAAGGGGGAAACCGCGCGCACACACACACACACACACACACGCACACACACACACACACACACGCTGCTATTGTTTTGTGGTTGAACATCTCAGTGAACATGATGTAGACGCCAAACACCTCATTTTTTGTAACAGCTTTACTTAAATATAATTAATATCACATAAAATTCACCCTTTTAAAGTATACAAGTCAGCGATTTTTTTAATATATTCAGAAAGTCATGCAACCACAACCACTATCGAATTTTAAAATATTTTCATCATCCCTGCCCCAGCCCCTGGCAACCACTAATCCACTTTGTGTCTCTGTGGATTTGCCTGTTCTGGACAGAGCATATAAAGGCAGTCATACAATATGTGGAATTTTGTGGCTGGCTTTTCTCACTTAGCATAATGTCTCCAAAGTTCATCCATGTTACAGCATAGTACCTCTTTCCTTTTTATGGCCAAATAATATTCCATTAAATGAATATACCACCTTTTACTCATCCATTCATCAGTTGACAGACACTTGAATTGGTTCTACTTCTTAGCTATTATGAATAATGCTACTATGAACATTCATGTACAAGTTTTTGTGTGGATATCTATTTTTAATTCTCCCGGGTATATATGTGGAAATCAAAATGCTGAGTCAAATGATAGCTCTATGTTGAATTTTGAAAAACTGCTAAATAGTTTTCAAAAATGGCTACACCATTTTACACTCCCAGCAGCCACATATGAGGGTGCAAATTTCTCAACGTTTTCACAGAAACTTGTTATTGTTCATGTTTTTTATTATAGCCTAGTGTGCATGAAGCGCTATCTTCACTTTAGCACTTCATCAACACAACTCCAGGAAATAACAGCAGATTACAGCCTAAAGAGCCGTAAGACTCAGACTTTATTTTAAAAGGGTTCTTAGGAAAACCCAACGGCAACAGAGGATACAAAAAATGACAGCAGAGGAAACTGAAACCTCTGGCACCTAGAGTTACAGCAAACATGTCTTAGACTATTTGTGCTGCTGTAACAAAGTATGACAGACTGGGTAATTTATAAATAATAGAAATTTATTTCCACAGTTCTGGAGGCCGGACAGTCCAATATCAAAGCATGGTGAGGGCCTTCTTGCTGAGTGCTCACATGGCAGGAAGGGTAAATGCTGTGTTCTCACATGGCCAAAGTCAGAAGGGCAAAAATGAGCCTAAACTAGTTCTTCCTTTTTATAAGGCGCTAATCCATTCATGATGGTGGAGCCCTCATGACTTAATCGCTTTTCAAAAGATCCCACCTCTTAACACCACCGCCATAAGGATAAAGTTTCAGCTGGGCGTGGTGGCTCACGCCTGTAATCCTAGCACTCTGGGAGGCTGAGGCGGGAGGATCGCTCAAGGTCAGGAGTTTGAGACTGGCCTAAGCAAGAGTGAGACCCCATCTCTACTAAAAATAGAAAGAAATTAATTGGCCAACTAAAAATATATAGAAAAAATTAGCCAGACATGGTCCCAGCTACTCGGGAGGCTGAGGCAGGAGGATTGCTTGAGCCCACGAGTTTGAGGTTTCTGTGATCCAGGCTGATGCCACGTACTCTAGCCCAGGTAACAGAGTGAGACTCTGTCTCAAAAAAAATAAATTAAATAAATAAATAAGGATAAAGTTTCAGGACATGAATTTTGGGGAACATTCAGACCATAGCAAAACATTAAACACAGCGTATCTCCAAGGCTGATTAGCATTCCATTGCCAGATACATCACATTCAGCTTTCAATAAAAAATTACAAGGCACACTAAAAGGCAAGAAAAATAACTGTCTGAAGAAACTAAGCATCAGACTCAAACTCAGACATGATAAAAATTCTGGAATTATTACATAAGGAATATGGTTCAACTAAAAAGCATCACAACCATATTTATCTAATTGACATCTATAGAATATTTCTCCCAACAATAGGAGAATACACATTCTATTCAGCTTACATAGAACATATTTCTCCCTCATTGTTGAAGGACAGTTTTGCTTCATGAAAGAAGCATCAAACCCCAGCGTCTAATCAGAGGTGACCTACTACTTACTCACCAGCTCCAAAGGCAAAGAAGGAGCCTTTGTCAGGGAACTCCTCCAAACGGGCCTTCACCCGCTTCCCCATTCTCTCGTTCCGCGTGTAGATCAGCTCCCTGCGGAAGTAGCTGTCGATCTCCTGAGC